ATAAATTAAACAGATGCTAGAGTAACATTGTGTATATTTTTAATAATAATATTCTCAAGGTTCTTTACAGCATAATAGAATTGGATAACATTTGCAAAATAATATAAAAAGCAGCTACGTTCCCACTGATTGTTCTGCATTGAATTGTATAAGGACATCAGATAATACAACAATATATCTCAGCACAATTTTGGTGGGGAATTATTTGATTAAAAATAACTTTGTCAACTTTTGCGAGAAAAAGATTTATGCCACATCAGGGAAAACAAATATTTCCAGTTACTGCACATTCAATTAACATGTCGTGGAAGGTATACTACTGGCGTCTGGTTCTCATCAGTGTGAATTAATTTCTTCATTCTTTGCAGTTATTTCAATGTCTAAACAATTTAAAATTATCGCAGAAATCTTAAAAATCAGACATGCTAGTCCGACCAAAATTTAACTTGGTTGGTATTTTATATTGATTGAATTATTGTAATTACGAGGAAAGAAATTTAAATTTCATTTTCAGAAATATCTTCAACAATAAACAAGCAAATCATAGAATAATCCAATTTAGACAGGATTTTATACTAAATATGATAAGCATGTTGGGATGATCGGATTTGAAATATTTGAGTTATTGTAACTACAGAAATCAAAGTGAACAATGAAGACGATTGCAACGACATCAATGACATAATTTTTCCCGTCATCATTCCCCTCGTTAACATTATTTATTGATAAGGTAAAAAGTCCCGTGTGGTGAAGGTATTGGGGCATACGTTTCTAGATGCATAATATGAAAACAATCTTTTTCAAAGTATTAAAGTTTACAAATACGGGTGCTAGTTAGTCGCTCAACCCTGATAACGCCGAGCTGTGTGACAAATGATGGCGAACACCAGCCAACAACATAAATTCAAGTTTTCAATGCATGAGAAGCAGTATGGTGAATGTGTGGCATTTCCGTGTAGTATACCCACAAAGTCCTAGGATTGGGAGATCCAGGGTTACAAATAAAATAGTTAATGGCTTCTAGGAAAATTAACATTTTGCTAATTCTATCAGAATCATTAACATGAATTTTAATAAAAATAATATTTTATTTGGAATTATTTGGAAGTCGTACCAATGATTTTTGTTAGTATTACCACTCTAATCTTTTAAAAATGCAAAATAAAATAAAATAAAATATTGTAATGACACATTCATTTATAACACAGGCCTCCATCGCCCAGACGTGTCTAGCTACATGTATGAATGTAAACAAACGCTAAATGTGGGGAAGAGATAGTTGTGTCGTCCACGATAACAATGGGAATAGGTAATAACATCTAAAACGACGTACATGCAAGAATTTAAATGAAAGGTAACAACAAATATTCGACTTAAGCGTTCAGACTGGGCATTAAACGTAATACTTCCTTTGAGGAATACAGTGTTGTGTCACAAGTAACAAATTAAATAACAAATACTTGTTCCTAGTTTTATACTTTGGATATAAATATAGAAGTGATTTTCCACCTTAGAGAGAAAGGAATTTGATCTGGTTGATCACAGAGGCGGCGGCACGAATTTTTGCATGGGGGGGGGGGGGGTCACCGTCCCTTGTTTTAAATCATATCTCGATAATCAGTCATAGTTGATTCAGATTACTATCGTTTCAGTCATTCTTTGAACGATATTATTTATGTAAATGTTACTGCACTGGAGTAAGTTATTATCAACATTGCTAGTAAATGCAATTGCTTTGAATGTTATTGAAGCTGTTTTGCTACAATGAAGATTGATGCATTCGAGACGCACCCAGACTTCAAGTCGCCGACATTGGTCACGCACTGAATGTGGCATTTACAGTCATCATGTTGCGAAGTGATTAAGGATTGCCCCCCCCCCCTACACACACACCTGCGTTTCGCGAAAAAAAAGTTGGACGGAATGTATTTTGCTAACATAGCGAAAAATTTTAGTGTGACGAAATCAACTGCGTATAATATATACAATAAATTCACATCAACTGGTAATATTGAACGTGGTACTGGCGGTCCTTCGGAATGCGTCAAGCTTACTGACAACGTATTACAGTACATCGAATTATACAACACCAAGCCAAGTATTTATTTGAAGGGGATTAGAAAGAATTTGATCGCCGAAAATGTGTGTACCATCGATACTGTCCCGTGTTTATCAACCATTCATGGTACTATCGCTGATTTGATGTTTTGTTTAACGTTCAAATTTAATAACTCGAATTTTAATTAACTGTTAACCGAACTTCGAGTTACGGGAAACATAAAACGTTAAACAAAATAACACATTTATGTTGCCCGTAAATCGAAGTTTGATTAACAGGTGTTTTGCAAAAGTGGTATTCTAGTGGTAAATTGAATTAAGGTAACGTTATGATGAAATCGTTACGAGAAAACGCATGCATGTGTTAGTATCTGCATGGTGCTACAGGTGATCACCCATGGATCGTAACCAGACAAAGCGCATTGTGTTACACGCTTTTTCTTTCTACTGTTATTACTCTTGTCATAGCTGATTTCAGCGAGCAAACTCAATATGTACCCCAAGACACACCCATAAAACGCCCATTTTAAGACAAAAAGCGCCGTCAACGTCGATCTTTTTGGGTCCAGTTTTCAACTGGCCACGGAGCATTCCCACCCAAATTTCATATGTGCACCACACCGGAACATACCATTGTAAGCTACGATAACAGGTCGCGAAATTAATTTACGAGAAATGGGTCCGAACTCCAGTAAATGAATCAAATTAATCTAAGATTTGTTTGCTTGTTTGTTTTAAATTATTTAAAATTCATATACAATAAATTGGTCACAGTATCACTATCATTTCTACGCTGTGTAACAATGGTCCCGATGACGTCACCAGGGAATAATTAGTAGATAGTAACTTCGAAACTCATTTTAAAATATTTATTTTGTTCTCATATATATATACTATAATAATATTTACATACCAATAAGTGATTTTGAACATCAGGGTAGCAAGCGTTTCACAGGCTATTTAAAGTAATGTGTATCAATTAGAATATTTTACAAGAATGTATGTATGTATGTATGTATGTATGGTATGGTATGCAAATTAATTGGTGCTAAATTCTAACCAATTATTATAGGTTTCTGTTACCAATAAGGATTTTCACCGCATATATTTTTTTTTTATAAATAATGGAATAATGTTAATTTTGAGATAAAATAAAATCTAGTGGGCCTACGTGTAATTTTAAAACTTCATTCCAGAAGGCATATTGGATTTCTTTGTGGTTTTCTAATACGGCGAAGTTGGAAGTCGGCGAGAAACTTACATATCGCATACATACAAGGTTGCAAGTCGATTGTCACCATGGGAAATGTAGGTTTCCTACCCCCTCTGTATTCTTACATTCAAAGTCAATGTACCATCGGACTAGTTCAACTCGAATAGTCTATTTGTTTACTGGAGATGGCAGGTTCAGAGCTGGTACAAGATGTTCAGTTAGATGAGGTGCATCTCTACAATGACGTCAGGGCGCGCTGCACCTACTAACTTGGCCATCGAGATTTACTGTGTTCTCTCGCGATACGGTCGCGAGACTACAATATTACCCTGGGCCATGTTCATTGTGCGGCTGTACTCGACCATCTGTGATCCAGAAATTCGATTATATTGTGTAAGAGACTGTTTATTTACACTTACATGCACCGATTTTATACAGTTACCTCTATTTTCTACAACAGATAAGATATTATTATAGTTAACAGTTTTGTGTCCCGTCTATGTTTTTGCATGAACCTACTCGATGCCTGCCGTCCATGTACAATTGACCCAATACTTTCGCTTGTGTTCCCAGCGACTCTGTCCTACTACTCAATCACGTTCAAGTTTGATTGGTTTGTATTAATATGTAAGTACGTTATACCTCATTATACCTCACTGTACCTCATAGCTGGAGTGTATTAATATTAGTGGTTCATAGTTACCTACATTATTACGAGTCTGTGAACTAATGGCTTTCGATTTTACTGCCCGGAAGATAACAGTAACTCGATTGTGAGGTTACTACTTTACCTACTGTGCACATTGATTTTGTGGAATAATATGTCATGGCCATGACTTATGCAAAAAAAAGCGATTTTGAATAGACATCGTATGTGCCACTCCCATGATTTTTTTGGAATGTATGATTACTGTCTCATAACCTTTCCTGAACTCATAGAATACATTGAGAATGTGACGCCCCAATGAATCTATAGAAAGAATGAATACATACATTGTAATGTGATAGAGTGGTACCATACGTGTAATGACGAGAACGAGACAGACGAATAATTTATCGCCAGGCAGCAGTAGAATTTTAGTCAATAAGTCCGAACAAAAAACAGTTCAAAAATAAGCACAAAATACATTAATCAATCGGCTAAGTAGTAGTTCATATTCAAAATGTATTTACTCTTATTTTGTTTAATGTCAATCTTGTTTTCAACAAATTGGTCATAGTTGAGTGCATTTACAACTAAAAAGTCAGAAGATTGCTTCATTGCACTTAACGAAATGATTTACTATATCATAATGAGTGAAAGTCACCTTTTTTAGGAGCACACATATACATGTGAAATAAAAAATAATTACAGATGTGTTCATATGTATTATAATTGTAAAAGACCTGCTATGAATTATTCACTAACAAACAAAGTACCCAATCAGCCAGTAAGTGTTATGCCAATTAAAAATATTATTTTCCATTCTGACACAAACAGAATAATTATGTAAATAAACTGAAAGTCTCAAACGGCATTTTCACAACATTTTTAGATAATTTCTTACTTGTTGCTCTAAGATATTTATGGAGAAAAAACATTACAGACATTAAGATCTTGTCACCACTTTTGTGTTTTCACATCTATCTTTTGTGATGATTTTTATTACCAGTTATATATATTAAGATAGTACATTTTTCCATAACAGTCGTTATTGAGTAGGCACCAAATAATTTTACAAGTGAAAGAATGACGGCATGTAACAAGGCGGAAGCGAAAACAATATATACGAGTGCGAGATCGACCTTTGCTAGGCGTTTCACTGATCCAAACCCGGGGTGCGTGATCGAACTCTGCTAGGCGGCACTGAGCATAACCCAGAGAGTGAAAGACAGACTTCTGCTTGGCGTTGACTGTTGAGATCACCATAATGCTTTGCGGTATTCTCGTGATAACGAGAATATTATTTCACCAAGTAATCAAAACAGCTAACAATAAGGTAACAAAATATAGTAACGAAATGACATGAATCGAAATAAGGGTGGTTTGCGCCATTTGATGACCCTTCTAACCATGTGTTTGGATCACAATGCTTTGAATAATCACATTCAAGGCATTTCACTCTTTTTATGTGTGTTATTTATTACGAGTGAGAGATATCCTCCTCCTATCCACAGTTCCTCGATGACTGTGTTTACCTTCGCATACATACTGAGGGTTCTTATTCAATAGACAAACATACCTACAATGTGGCATTGAAGGACAAACAGCCTGCTAACTGAGAGAGTATATAATGTTTACAACTCGTTTAAATTCATATGCTAATTTATTTCTTGCCTCTGAATACATATTTTTGCATTGGCGTTTAAACGGCAACGCAAACACGACGACGAAATGCCATGAATCAAAATAACGGTGGTTAGCGCCATCTGATGACCCTTTTAACCACGTGCTTGCATCAAAGCTTTCTAACTTGGAGAGTGTATATTGTTTATAACTCGAACTTAATTTGATTGTCCCACTCAAATGACGATGCCAGCAATAGAGCTTTTTGTGTATATCAAAATAAAGGACGAATGTGAAGTAACATATCTTGCTATGTGTTCTCATGGCCGTCTGAGTCATCCCTAAGATGTGGGGTTTTGCGGAATATTAGTTATTAGTTATTTTAACAAGTTGATATAACTCAAGGAACGCTAATACAATGGCAACAAGATATTTCTGACCCACTGCGCTTTGCGACGCGCTGGATATCGACATGGTCGTCGTTCGGCGTTACCTATGGTAGCATATGTCATCACGGAAAATCTATAATATTTCTCGAAAACTGAATAACCCCCAAAAAAGATATTTTTGTGAAACTAGAGAAAGTTGGGTGCCTATGTATTGTGAAACAACAAGAAATGAAAATCGCCAATTGTTCTATTTTTCAGGGACCAACCTACTGGATATAGTCCTGGTTATGCTTATGGTTATGAGGGCCATGATCCCCAACAGAATGTGATCACCACCCAGCCACCTCCTATGAGTCAGATGCAACATTCCACGGTGAGTACACAATTACTTTGACATTCCATGAAACAAATTATATGATTACAGTTTTCTCTAATTGCTTATGTGTACGAGATTCAGTTTCTATCTTTGAAAGGGCATATTTCCACACAAGTTAAATAACTCTTAGATTCAAGGTTCGTTAAGTTAGAGGTTATATATTGTTTTTAGAACGTAGTTGTGGTTCAGCAACAGCCTACCAACACGACTATAATACAGCAGACAAATGAGTGGACTACGGGATTGTGTGGATGCTTTGAAGACTGTGCAGACTGTAAGTTATATCATGTTTAATATATGTCCTTTGCTTTGGTGTACATTGCGAATCAATCCTGAATTCACTGTAGCTCTGACGTGTGCCTGGTCACACAAGAAGGTAACAGTATGTTTTCGCGGCTTTATATTTTGGAACCTCTATGTGTTAAATCAATATACCGCATCACGTGTATCAAACTTTTTACATTAAATATTATAACATTTCTTCACAGGTGCGGCGGCTTGGTTTTGTTGTTGGTGTCACAGATGTTATCTGTCTGTAAAACTGAAAGAAAGTTGCTGCTTACCGGTGTGTTGTTGCTGTTGTGACCTGATGATACTCCGAATGAAAATACGTACCATGAGAAATATCCCGGTAGGTCGAACACTGGTGGTACATGTAATCATGTTACTAAGCAACTGGGTTATGTGATCGCCATTTCATATGCGGAGAACGGTAGATTCCTTTTTGTAAACGTCGGAAACACGATTATACCGATTACATGTAATTAAAAGTAAAAAAACACCAATACTCAATCCTTCAAAGTAATGTATCAGAAAGACCGAGTATTAGTGAAATGCGGCAAAACAATATAACAATTCAAACACTAAATCTCTTGAAAGAAGTTTTAAACACATATTTTAAACGCGTATTTGGGTGATGCGAATTTTTTTTGTCTTAATAAAATATAAGAAACGTATGGTTCGTCCATACAAGTTACAATGGTGCTTTTTACAACATGTTGCCATGCAAATTTATGTTTCGCTTGATGTTGTTGATGCTGGTGAATCTTTTAAATTCAAATTCTTCTGTACCTGAAGCATTTATTCTATTCTTGATTACCTAGTTTTGTTGTTACCTTTACGTAGATTTACATAGAATATTTCGGTGATATATCCTCTTGTTTATTTTGTTCACAGGGTGGCGCTATCAGTGACTGCTGTGCAACTTCCTTCTGTGGTTTTTGTGCCGCAACTCAAATGTCACGTGAGTGGGACAACAGCAACATGGGATGAAAAGTGCGCCATCTAGGGATATCTTGAATCAGACAAAATACATTGTACCTATATGTAATCAGAATTATTGATCCGAACTTAAATAATTTAGCAAGAAATCAATTCCACTAAGACAAACTGATTAAGCAAGTTGAATTCATTCATTCATTAATTCAGTCAGACAGACAGACAGTCAATCAATCATTCAGTAAGTCACCCAGTCCGTTATCAGTCTGACGAGTTACTGATTTCGAGTATTATGCCCGTCTTAATATTTAACCAAGTGACTGGTTTTGTTAGATTTATATTAATTGTGAACATAAGAAGATCACGTAACACGTTTTCTTCCATTACATTATCCGTGATATGACAAGTAGTTAACTGTGTTATGTAATTCGTCAAATGTTCCTACCAACAACTTGATATCATAGCAGAACCAGAACATTGGACACACACACATACACACGCACACACATTCGTAATACCGCCATTTAATTCTTATATAATGTTATGAATATTAATCGTACATTCAGAATTAAACTATATATATTAATGATATATGAGGTGTTGGAGCACAAATGTATCGTGACTATAAAACACAACGCCCCGAAATACCTAATCGGTGGGATTTAAAGTAAAAGCCGACGATATAAACGTATCACACTTCCCCCTAACCGAAATATTTTAGTGTAACTAACAAATATTGTTAGAGTTGAATGCAGGTCCAGTATTGCTTGAAATATTACACAAATGCTCATTGAGGACACATGACCATATGTTGTTGATATAGCTTATCCGATGTATTCAATATTGAACTAACTGCATTGTCCTATCTCCAACAGATATTAAAGTTTTGCGTATTAACGTTGTCACATGACCATATACATGTATGGTCATGTGTATGTTTGTAATTTATTTCGTCCAATACCTTTATTAAAGTATCCGTTGTATTATACCTTCAATAAATAAACCTATGGATATTCATGAGACCACACGATCAAATATGGCCGTGATTTGTTAGCCGCATCTCTCCATATATGCAATAGGTGAAAGGTAATTTAAATACCATTGACGCATTGACTGCCGAAAACGATGGCATAACAGATAAAAAAAAATGTTACAACACTACCTGATACTGCTATACAAAATAATGTGACCCATAATCTAACATTGATACAAATGATGAAAGTGGGACTCAACCAATTTTCAAAAAGCACAATGACGGAAATGAAATAGAAATTGTTAAAGAAAACAGTTCAATTGATTAAGAGAGGGTATAAACTCCTCCTTCACCTTCATGTACATCGCCATCAGTCACAAGCCCTTTTCAACACAGTAGCTCCACCAAATAGAACCTCTGTCGAAATGAAGAAACACTGTGACGATCACCGAAATTTCAACATTTACTGACAGTAATGTGACAACCATATCAAATGAAAATATCAAAGAGTTTTGGGTGTCCACGCTGCACTCTCGTAGATTTATAGAAAAGGGCTTTGACTTTTGCCCCAATCTCAAAATACAGGCTAGACACCGTATAAACTACCAACACTCCCAACAGTTGAACACCGACAAAGCGTGCATTCACAGACAACAAATCAGAACTGGTAATTTCATCCTCGATTTTTAAAATCTCACTTTCATTGTTAATGGCTACCGAGATGCTCTTAACAGATATAGTGTGTTTAAATATGCACTTCATATACTTCATATATGACACAAACAAGTTTCTGCTTCACTTACAACTTGTATTCAAAAAATTAAAAAAAACTTCTCTCTTCGCTTCCAACTTTTAGACACCAAAAAAATCGCCTCTCCAAGGTTTTTACAAGAAAAATCTAATGAACAAGAATTTGTTTTGGCCTGGTCTTATTACTGAATTTTCGGTGTGAAGGGACAAACAAGTATCGGAATATCCAGGCACAGTGGGACATCGGGAAAACAAAATTAAATTACTCCACTCAGAAATAATGCGCAATTAAACAAGATAAACACAAAACAGAAAAAAACAAATTCTGGAAATCGAAATCCAAGCCATTAATACCCACAATGCACCGCTCTTGAACAGCTGCACGCCACATTAAACACGATCATCTGAGGCGCCACACACACTGAATATCAAACTGAAATTTACAAAATAATACACAATGTTCGCAATAATCTGTATAATGACTCCCCTTCCTACAATAGTGATGTCACCAACCAACTGACGACCTGTGAGTCTGTTATGCTACGTCATAGCATTGACAATGCCAATTCAACTAACCCTCCTCTGGCCATTGTTGCTCTAGACCAACAAAAGATATTTGATATAATATATCACAGATATCTCTTTCAACAAACTTTATGCCTTTGTTTTTGATGACCGTATTCTACAGTCGCCTTACTTATTTATGCCCATGCCCAGTCTCTGGTTCGTTTTAATTGTACCCTCACTTCATCCATCACAGTAACTAGGGGTATTTGCCAAGACAGCTCAACGTCCACTGCCCTCCACTGTTTAGCCATTGAACCACTCCTCCATAAAATCGGGAATAATAATAGTCATACCACACAGCAATAAGTAGCACTGTTAAATGTACTGTCTATGCTGATGATGTAGAATTGTTCATGACTGGCAAAGAGGAATTTAGTTCACTTGCTTATGAACGGGCATCAAAGTCCAAAAATAAATCTTATAAACATCTACTCTCCTAAAAACAATTCGGTCCCAAGTGCCCACGAACCTGCATCTCTACCTTACTATCAAATAGAATAGCGTGGGGATGAAACTGTTTGGTGTTTATTTAGAACATAACCAAAGTTATACTGATCAGAACTGGGCTGAACAATCAACCTTTGGAATCACTTTATTCATAGCATGTCGTACAGAGGAGGCGCTTTTGTCATAAATAACCTGATTTTATCGCTGTTATTGTACCGTTTCGACAGCTTTACACCACCCATGGATGGTTTATTTATTGGTTGTTTATATGTGCCAGTGACTGCATAGATTCCTTTGTTTCACCTGTTTGACCTGTGGTGAAGTCTGGGCTAGGCTATTGTCTTCAGTTCTGTATGTGGTTCTGAATAGTGAAGATGTGTCTATGGGCATGCTATGAATTGTCCTGCAGTAGTAAGTTTTCTGTAAAATTTGCTAAGGTTTGCTAACCCTTGTACACTGGTCCGGGAATGTGCCTCTAAACGAGAACCGTATTCTGGAGTTTTACTACCGTATTCCGATTCTGCAACGAAACTAATTCTACATTTTCCACAATAAGCGATAGAATAAACCGAGCCGTCATTTGTGTGTTACTGTATAACATTTTGCTGAAATCTGTGTTGGAGTGAATATTTCTGATTATATGGTATAAATGTATCGCATATAACCACAGTACGCGTTTCTATTTGGTGGTTTAATATTTTGAGAGACTGTAACACCTGTGGGAGCTTGGATGTCTACAATGACATAGACTGGAAAAGTCGGGACTTTTATAATTAATTGTCAATTTAGCTATTTTAACGTGATCGCGAAAACTAGTGTGACTGCGAAAGAAATTACGACTGGACGCATCTGCTAGCGATTCCCTGCGTTGGAGTGAAAACCGGAGCGGATTTACTCCGGTGATTATGCTAACTAAAAATTGTTGACCAGCAATGACAACGAATCAGAGTGCAGCTGTATACGTCATATCGTATCTATGTTAATGTACATGACATTTCACTTCTGAGGTCCCGGCGATTTTGAAAGACTACTTATATACATTGGACATTTAAATCGACTTGTTTTCAGTAAACATGGATGAAATTATCGCCTTTGCACTGAGAAAGTATCCATCTCTGCGATGGAATGGAATCAACCTTTCACACACCCATTCATGAATAATCAATGACATCATGGAAATGTATAGCAGTCAAATTCCCGCAAATACGACTAGTCAGGATTTCTTTAGCGGTTAGGTTAGTTTTTGCGATCACACTGAAAGGACTAAAAGAACAATTAATTATTTCTTTTTGTAAAACAAAAAAAGTCTCGACTTTGCCAGTCTAACAATGACAGTGCTATCGATGAACTAAACTAAACTAAATTTTTAGAAGTGTAACAATGAAAAAATAAACTGAATCAGCATTGGACATATGGCAAAAAAGTCGTAATATTTGGAAAGCATACGTCACATTCGAATACTTTCCATCGCATGCAGTAGCAAATTGGTGCGTGACGGAAATATATTTCGTAACTGAGCGAAACCTAGTGTGTGGGATCGACCTCTGTCACTGAACAAACCTTGAAGCACCCCAACCCCTTGTTATGCGTGTTAGTTATTATGTTAGTGTAACTCCGGAAGTGACCTATGTAACACATGTACCATCAGGGAAGAAACCTCTAGTGTCTACAGAAGGTGTTTTAAAAAGTGTGAACACATCTCGCTCCACGAGTGGCACCGCCATAATTCTCATAATTAAATGGTTTGTGTTTGAAACCGGAGGTATGCATCAGACAAGTGACATTGACGCCATCTGTCACCATCTTTCTTATTGTATTTAACCACAAGCTTATCGTATTTGCTAATAAAACTCTTGAATGTCAAGACTAGTCGTTCACTACAAAACATTCGGTTTAATAATACAGTTAACTGCTAATGTACTACAAGGCTTGGGCATAGCGAAAGAGTTGACAAATATATATATATATATATATATATATATATATATATATATATATATATATATATATATATATATATATATATAGTGTTTAGAGAAATTGAGATAATTCTGTACAGTTGTGAAAAACTGATGATAGTAAAATTAAAATCATCTAATATTATCAAATTGAAAGCACAGATCTAAGTATGAAGCTGACGAAACAGAATGATGTTTTAGTCTCCTTAATCTCGAGTTCAATTGAATTTGTCATTGAAATAAAATCACTAAATTTCGGATTGTTGGTGGAAAGAAGGTCTGAGAAGTTATTAAATAAATATGAAATAATTAAAAGATTCTTTATTACTAACAAACATCGGTCAATGACCAAATATCTACCACCCCCAACAGTATTCAAACCAAAATAATCAAGCTCATATGTGCGACCAACAAGTCCAATTTGATCTTTACAAGAATACACCATCAGCCAATAAGCCAATAAATCTGTCCACTATGATCCAAAGATGGCGCAATTAAATATACAACAGACGGAAAGTTGGAAATACTGGACACCACCTGAAAATCGTCGACTAAAACTGCATTCAATGCACACGGAAGGTCACGATAGAATATTACTAAAACGTGGGGGCATCAAATCCTTAAAAGGAATGAATGATATCATCAAATTATAAGTGATCCCACCATCAAAAAATAATATTGCGAGTATGCGTACAGTTACGTAACTTGAGTTTATTAATCTAAGTTCAGCATGACAGTACATTTTTTCAAGTCAATCGTCAATTACTTGGGAAATACACTCATTTCAGCACCTCCACGTCATTGTCGATTGCGCACATCTTCAAAAAAGGCTCTTATTAAATTAAAATCTCTAAATTCATTGTAATATGCAAACTGTGCACAAGAAATGAGATGAGATTGTGGAGAAAATAACAAAACCTTGCAAACGTTAGCATCAACTCTGCCTATGTGACGTTAATCATTACACCGTGTTTAATTTTTTACAATAGACTAGGTAAACTATTTATGACAGACAGTTTATATCAGACGACACACAATTAGTATATCAGTAGCTGTCCGTGATACGTGTGCTACATCTACTACAAAGACAGCCACCCGTAACCGTAAGTTTTCCTTGTTTCTTTTAAGTATTGTTTCAAAGAATCACAATACGTATTGACAGACTGTAAGCACCTGGATAAGTATTACTATTATTGACATTCACATATCACTATATTATGTTACTAACACTTGGAATGACGATACCGTGACGTAAAGGATTGATAGAAAAAAAACGAATTATTTTTTTTTTTTTCAAAACTAGTTTTAATAGAAATACACTAAATAGGAAGAAAGGAAAAACGTCTGCATTCCTCCGTTGTGTTAATGTTTGAAACCCGACTGTTGTGTAAATAAACCTTGCACGCACATGATGTATACAGATATAAGGAACAGAGACAAAAGATATTCAATTTAAAATCTGAGGTCAGCGTCCATGATGGATTTGTCTTGAAATCAAAGTCCATTTTGTTTGGCATAGCTACTTCAGATAGAACCTTTGCTATGGTACACATAACAGTGTTGTGATGTGTTATACTGATTCATATCACTGAGTTCAGAATACATATAGATATGGAATTTGCAACCTTTCATATTGATAAATAAGGATAAACTTATTGTATAATGATAAACATATATATAAATATATGCATAATACAAAATATTAACTCATTTGGTGAAGCAGACGACATGCGACGGGCTGACACACAGTACAGTAATACGAATAGCTCTTCTCGACTCGTATCTAATTGTAGATAAACAGTCAAATGATTTACACCGTAAGATTGAGTCGTCGTGTTACCTGGAAAGTCTACTGCACATTACCATCATATCTACTTCCGGGTAAACAGTCAAATGACTTACACCGTATAATTGAGTCATCGTGTTACCTGGAAAGCCTACTGCACAATACAATCTTATCTGATCGCAAAATTGAAATGTCTTAGCTCCCGGAAGGCCTATATTTACCATGATATAAAATTGAGGGTTAACAGCCATGTGCAATGTAAATCGATAAAGCACTTAAGTTTTTAAATGTTTTTAATTGAATGCACAAATTTTGAAATGCGTATAATTTCAATCAAAACTGTAGTGTTTTTGAAAAAGTGTTTGTTAATTTAAATAGTATTTGAATTGTAGGTAAAGTATCTATTTGTAGGTAAACAGTCAAATGACTTACACCGTAAGATTGAGTCATCGTGTTACCTGGAAAGTCTACTGCACATTACCATCATATCTACTTCCGGGTAAACAGTCAAATGACTTACACCATATAATTGAGTCATCGTGTTACCTGGAAAGCCTACTGCACAATACAATCTTATCTGATCGCAAAATTGAACCGTCTTAGCTCCCGGAAGGCCTATTTTTTACCATGATATAAAATTAAATGTTAACAGCCATGTGCAATGTAAATCGATGAAGCACTTAAATTTTTTAATGGTTTTTATTTAATGCACACATTATTCGCATTTAAAAAATTTGAAATGCGTATAATTTCAATCAAAACTGTAGTGTTTTTGAAAAAGTGTTTGTCAATTAAAATAGTCATTGAAGGACATTTTCTGTGCATGTTTATTAAGTGTTTATTGATGAGACATGAGATATGTTACACGCGAGACTAAGTAAAGAAAAAAAGGCAACAATATTCCTGACTCAAACTGTGAATTCGCGTGTAAACATCACACTGTATTATTTAAACCGTCTGTTATCACATACATGGCACAATTGCAATTGGTAACAGCCGAATAATGATTATTATAACGAAATGTGTGAAGCAAAGCAAATCTGGCAATTTTCAGGTACTTTCTGTTTGTGACGTCAGAGATCCATATAGTCATTCACTACACAGTATTTCGAGCTATATTTTTTGGGGGGGACAGTACGATGTAACAAAGTGCACGTCTACTTACAGCAGCGAGCCGCGACTTCGAATCTCGCGTTTCATGTTAATAAATAATCGTAAATGTGGCTCCAATGTTGCTTCTACTGCTAACTGACATTAGGAAACACGTCACAGCACATGATCAATTAGGTAGTGATATGAAAAAAAGAGAAAAAACAATTTACACTGCTGTATGTTGAGCTAGTACTATAAAACAACAAGAAGACAAGAAATACAAGCCATTTCTCGTTGGTGAATGACAATATAACAATAACGCTTACAATGCAGTGGAGCGCTCACATACAATAAGCATACGTTATATGCGGACACATGGATTACTTAGCTCGGAATATTTCTAGATACGAGTTTAAAAACTAAAAAAGTAGGTCGTTTGGACCAACTTTGGGCAAACTTTGCCGGAAATGACACGATTTTTAATTCAAAACCTCTTCCACGTTTTGTTTTTAAAAATACCTTTTTTGAGCACGCTCCTCGCGAGCTCACGTACATTCACGCCATGTTGACGTGATAGAGGCGATTCGTCGCTGGAGGGCGTTCTCTACATGTTGAATTCATATAAAAATAAAGAAACTCATCACATGTATACATATTTGTTCTTGCTGGATAGAACCTCGACTGTTATTAATGGCTGAAAACAAAGTATATGAACAATTTGGAGGTGGTCAAATCCCCCCTTGTCAATCGCAACCACCTGTGGGAACGGTGCAAATGCCGATAACCCAGGAACCAACTTGGCAATATCAACAGCCCAGCACTACCACGGTAAGAATACGATTGCTTGTACACATCGACAACAGTAAACGTACCACTTTCTCAGTTACATGTTGTTGTAGGTGACCTATATGTTATTTTTGTTATTGCCGCCAGGGTTTGACCGGACTCCATACAAAAAAGTTCGCTGATTCTGTTCAAAACTTTTTGGATTTTGGATTTCATGATGTATCCTAGGAAGAAAAAGGTGTATAATAGTATGGTTATTACGAGAATACCTCAAAGTATGTACTCGGACAGTACGCCGTCGCATCGACCTCCGCTGCGCGTCGGTCGATACACCCGCTGTACTGTCTTCGTGCATACTTTGAGGTACCCTCGTAATAAACTCATAGTATACTGAATGATCGTATTGTATATTTTTATTTTCTTATTTACTAGAACGTTGTCATTGTACAGAACAATGGCAGATGGTGGACAACCAGTCTGTTTGGCTGCTTCGAGGACATAGGAAGCTGCAAGTATAATTTGTTTATTCAAAAGTTTATTCACCACTGTGGCGTGCATCACATCACAATAAGCACACCTGCATTATTCAATTAGATAGTTTTTTTCTCGTACAAAAAATTGGAAAAAATTAAAGCATTACTATATTTTCCTGAATTCCAGTATAAAACATATTCATATTGAAATTCAAATTTAGTGATAAATCTGAACCAAATATACTGAATATGACATTAATCATAAAATTCAATTCATGGAGTCGTCACCTTCTATCACTGGTTCAGAATGCAATCGGCAATACTCGATAACATTCATTTTGTTTCACAGGCTTGGCGGCGTGCTTCTGTTTGCCATGTTATCGTTGCTACTTGTCGAACAAGATAGGCGAAAGCTGCTGTCTGCCTCTCTGCATCTGTCCTCCTAATGACTTGGTCACCATGAGAATGAAACTAAGAACAATGAAAAATATACCGGTAAGTTGAGATAAAGCATTGTTTTCGTTTAGATCATGGTTTCGCAGTTGAAATGTTGCATATCAAGACTGTTTATTCTTTGAATTAACCTTAACTTGAAGTGAGTACATTTTCTTAAGTTGATCTTCTGTTTCCAGAGCGATTAAGTGAAAGGCCTGAAGCTGGAAAGATCATTTTGTTTCATTAACTATTTACATTGACTTTAGGCGAGTTAAACCAGTTTTAAAATAACATTCACTTGCTTCACTAGGGTTAACTGAAACTAGAGTTGATAGCGTTCGCTAGCTTCACGTATATCAGTGGAAAGTTTGAGAGTGGATTAGATGTTTGCGTACATCTTTTGTTTCACATTAACAACGCGACAGTCTATGGTGAATGCAAGGGGATCGTAGATATGAACTTTTTAAAATAACTATAGTGTTATTTTCGGTCGAATCCGATACTTATCCGAAACAATAGCCACAACAAATTTTGGAATGAATCCAATGCTATGTCAGGATGCTATGATAATTCATGAATTACGACTTACATTTTAGCCAAATATTTTATTTATTGGCAATAATGAAGGTTATGATCAATTCTAGTTTAGCCTTGAATGTGAGAAAATTATTTTTGATATTTTTTGAATCTGACGCTAATCCGATCTTTATGCAATACCAATTAAGTCTGTTTCCGGAGGGGGGTTCGTCTTAGGGTCATTATAATTGAAATAAATGTAGTTATGTTTGTAAAGTTCACTTAGAGGCGCCTTCACTTCCTCAACCAGAAATATGTTATTTGACTTAAGGTCGCCTTTCTCTCTAAAGTAAACTGAAATAGCTACTTTCTGTATTCCGTTGGTGTCCCTTGAATTTACATTTAAATCGTTTAACATAATTGGCCGTTCTCGCATTATTACTGACTTCTTTTCTAAAATCAACAAGTCAAACTAAAACGAGTTATTTTCTTTTCATTTTTTCAGGGCGGCGCCATCACCGATTGTTGCGTTTCGTGTTGGTGTCCTGCGTGTGCGGCAGCTCAAATGTCACGTGAGTGGGATAATAGTCCACGCTATGATGTGACTTGATTGCATGACGTAAACCTGAATAATGAGCCTCATCGCTAGTAAAACGAGCCGTTTACACTACCCATGATAGTGACTTATATTGACTTCCATTTAAACAAGAAATTTCCTTGAAAGACGCAATATAGTAAACTTCGCTAATTCCTATAAGAACTAATTGTATAACGACCACGATTAATTGAAGCAAATTTAAATGAGTTTCATGTCATCTATCTTATCAGCTAGAAGGCGTCACTTATTTGCAATTTTTAATATTCCCATGCTCAAAAATTTACGTCTAAGAAAGTCTATCATCTGGACTTCTTTGATATACACGTCAAATCATCAAATCAATTCATCCCCGGACTTAATTGTCTCAATTTCAATTCAGTGATCATTTTATTTGTAATGCCTTCGGATATACTGACGGCCATTGTTTTCGACCTTGCTAAATGCATATAATATTTGAACGTATCCGACTTTTGTAATAACTTGATAAATCAACTGCGTTCAACCGTGAAATAAGGACCACGCGTCTACAAGAGGTCATTTATATTGATTTGGTGCTGCTGAGTGAACGCGTATTTGAACTGATACCTCCCCCCCCCTCACCTAAGGAAAACGATTCAAGGAATGATTAGTTATCCACACGACATCGCATCTTTATGGAAAAGATAAATAAACACTACATTGTTTAAATTGTAAAATAAATAATATAAGATTTATCTGACAGACAATTGTCATGTGTATTTGTTTTTGAAACCATGGTAACACATAGCAACACCAGTTCAAATAAACGTGCCTGGTGTATTCATCTTAAATAGACTTTTATCAAAAGTCGGTCCCCTACAGTTGTCTGTGGGAGAGGAACTAAGAAAGAGGCTCCCGAGGGGTTAACTTCGCAGCTATGCTTGATCTTGCATTAAAGTAAACAAATAATTTTCATGGGGATTCCACCAAATGGCATAATTTTCAGAGGACTGAAAATGTCTCGTTCATCATCAGGCCAGGCCCATAGGTTTGAGAGGAGATCGGGGGGGGGGGTTCAGTCAAACCCCCTAAATTTTGGAAATGAATACAACTATGTACGGATATTAGTACATATTAAAACAAACGGTAATAATTATCATCGTTAAAATCACTTGACTCAGTGATTATGAGTCTCCGGGTGTTCTTTTAAATGGGCAAGCTTTTACTCAGCGTTCAAGCAGCAGATGTTAAACATTAAGACGGGTAAGTATATTTATACAAACAATAATGTAACAGTAGCCACTCTCTAAAGGATGTGGTGACCTAGAAATAGGCCGTTTGTTTGGTACAAGTGTTTGCTCAGTTAGTACAGTATGATGAAATTGTTTTTGCGTATCTGTTAATCGACTTAATTAGCTGATTGATAGCGAATGGCTGTGTTATGTCTGTCATCGTTTAGGCAGGCGAGGTCCTGGGCGGAACTTGGTTCAGTGATTTGGAACTAATTACGAGATAACCATCGCTATTCGGACTACTATTTCTGACAGTTGGTATTCGTAGTTATTAATGTAGTGAACGATTAATCAAAAGATATGACGTATTCAGTACTTAGTGTGATTGGCTTTATGATTGAAGGTTACGCCCTAGAGTCTTTTTTTCTGCTTTGTAATTGGTTAGAGTTTTGAAAATGAATAAAGTTGTTTTAGTTGGTCTTGGCGAGTACAGCACAACAGACGCAGCCCAGTCCTGGAGAGTCTTGGGGCGAGCCTTGAGGCAGTCCAGTCTTGGGCTAGTCTTGGGTCAGCCTTGCGATAGTCTTGGGGACTTTTTCCCCAGGGCGCTGTGTCTTATAGAGTGCTCTACTGATCGACTAAGACGAGAGTTGAACGTATTTCGTTGTGTGTGTCTTATTTGACTGTAAAACTTAAGTGACTTTCCTGATCCCTTACCTCAAGGGGACGAGATATAGAGACGAGACGAGATTCCCCCCTGACACGTGTGGAGAACCTCAAAGGAGAAGAATTTCCCCTGATAACAGTATGGGGATCAAACGGGTTGATCGGCCCTGTAATTTTTCTAGCACAGTCCAACACTGTTAATTATTGTATTGCACTCACTCACCCTAATAAATGTGGGTAACTTTTGAGTGTTGTGAGCATATTTAAATCGAGGAACGATATAATGTGATTTACGGTAAAAGCAGTATGCGTTCCGGCTGGATTTGCCGTTCCGGATTTGCCTATGCGAGCAACTAATTGCAAACTAATGTTTCCAGTACTTTTCTTTCAATACTGCTAAGTTTGCATTCAAAAGTTTATTTTAATTTTATGATATGTGATACCCTAATGTTTTATGTTTTATGTTAAGGCGAGTGGACGTGGTCACTCGTGATCAAAAATATAGCCGTCAATAACTCACTTGTTGCAGGGTGGTAAACATGCCATATTATTGGGCCATAAATGTTCATGGCAACCAAGGCGTGTTATATATTCATTTCAACAACAAAAACAGCAAACGTTGCATTATATTGTATTATCGACCACAGCTACACATAGATACTGCACTGTTACCAGAACTAGAACGTAAGTATTGAAATTTGTATTGTTTGTATGTGAGACGGTATCTCCCTCCCCAACACTTTCTTTCAATCTAAAAATGATATTCTGTCGCTGACGTGGTAACATATTTGAACTAATTTGTCAAGTTATTGGTAAAGTATTTATACAATGAGTGTATTTTATACGTGTAACATAATATAGACGATAATTATTTCCATGTTCTTTCCTGTGATTATGGTAGAACTATAACCAGTACTTTTCCCTGTCAACAACTCTCAAAATAAAAATGGTGGCTAAAATATACATACTTTCTACTTTTCTATGTTTTCAAATTGTGTCTCCTGCTTTTGATTATCGCTGAAACAAACCAGGTTGTCTCGTCATGATTTGAAAGTTCAGCGCTCAGGTTATTGTCATACCCGACGCAAAAATGCAATATTTTTTTTTAATTTGAATTTTGGTCAACGAATATTCGCACGCAATGTGCCGGGTGATTCCTACTCAAAAACACGGTATTGCAACTAAAAACAGATAGTAATGCAGTGTATATCATAATTATCCCTGGTTGATTCCGGATGAACAATCATCGTCTTTAGTTCCAATGTTTATTACACGCAGGATAGGACACATTTTATTCAGTAACTCAAACACACGAGTATGGTATTGTGAATTCTACAATGTAAGAACAGGGGCAATAAATTAAGAACCCACATCAACACGGACTACGCTATATCGCCTGAGTATCGCCTGTTAGGTGTCAAATGTTGTTTTGTAGATGGTGGCGGTGCTGTTTGTTGTGGTGAATTGGTTGGGTGCTGTTTGTTGTGGTGAATTGGTTGGGTGCTGTTTGTTGTGGTGAATTGGTTGGGTGCTGTTGGTTGTTGTTGGACTACAGGATACTTAAACCGTTGTGGCTCGTAGTGTTCGGTGTGGAACACATATGACGTATACATTTCATATAAAGTACAGAATTTGTTCACAAATTCGAACGTGCGCTATGTGATGTTTTAATACTCAACAAATGAACTCCTCCCTGTTATATTTTAAATTGTTTTTTTTTCAGTAATCACGTGACTTGCTTTGCGATGAACGAAACAGTAGATTCAGATTTTGGGAAAGTGACATCAATGCAAGTTGGTGAGGGAGAAGAACATGTACAGCCTCCCGGAGTACCAGCAATAAGTACAGCCCCATTGGTGCCACCACAATCAAATGTGATGACACAGCAACCCGTTTCCGCTTGGCAGGCGCCACAGGTAGGGGGAAATAACAGTTTCTAGGCTGCCTGTTGAAAAGATGAAAATAAAGCAATGAATAACGGAGGTCGTCGCGCCATGAGATTTGTGGCGAGCACACACACACTATTTTTAATGTGCACAAACGAGGGACTGTGGTACAAAATACCGTCTTTAACACCCTGGAATATTTGTAGATGCGTTTCAAGCTGAATTATCTAGTTAAACCACGGCAACCTTTCTGTTTGTACTCGTACTCGTTTTTGTCTGTATCACAAATAGACCGGCAACAATTTTCAGACCAATTTGTTTGAATAAGAATTAAGAATTGATTAAAACAGTTTACGGATGCGTTTAGTCTCGATTGAGTTTGAGAACTTCCTTTAGAAAGTGGACGGGTCACAGAGTCAGAATATATGCCAGGCCATTTATTCTGGTTCTCAGTGTTGCAGTGCTGATTCCGAAATGAGCGTTGTCCGAATTTAGTTTAGCCTCGATTTTGCTAATGTAAAACTCCTCATTTAGAATATTGGGAGTCAATTTTGTGGGGCGCTATTTCCGAAATTGACAGGTCAACTTTTTCTGGACAATCAGAAATCCATGTTGCGTAGCAACATATTTCAGCTTCTTAAACTATTACTAGTGAGGAGGGGTGATGTGTTATAAAATAGGGGTGTCAGATAAACTGTCTCTGAATAGTTGTGAGACGCTGCATCCGAAAATGCACGTTGTACAGGCGTACAAATCAAATTTTTTGGAAATTTGCCAGACAAATTTTATTTGATGCATTTTGAGAAGCTGATTTCACAATTTATCAGCCAAATTAAACATTTCACTAGGTCTCAATTGTGTCAAGTAAAATTGGGTGTGAGCAAAATTTATTGGAAATACAAGCACTTCAGACTGACTATATGGCCTAAAACCTGCATCGCACTGCATTATATTGTAGTCAAGTCAATCCGGTGGCCATTGCTTCCCAAATATGGTATTGTTTTTACGACGAGCTCCAAGTACAGCATAACAATCATTATTAATTATGGTTTTAGTGACTGCTGCTGTGCACCTCGGTTATTTACAGTCATAAATTTGCCAAATCTGTTGAATTAAAACCATTTAAACGAACCGAGTTTATGGTGTCGTAAACATAACGCGGTGAGTTACATTGCATCGTAGTCGAGTAGTTGCCATTCTGATACAGAACAGAACATATTCATGCATTGTTATTAACTAATTGCAGCAGATTTGCAGGAATATAAATAGAAGCATGCGAGTCTCAACTCCCCCAAATCACCCCGAGTGAAGTTAATGTTGCATTACAATGCTGCAGGCGTTCAGTATATTTGGGAAATGTCAAAGATTAGTTATTTGACTAACCTCAGATATCAAATAAATCCAATGAACTCTTATTGTCGTTTTTCTGTTGATACACGCAAATATGTTGAATGTTTTGAATATTAAAATGAATAAACGTATAATATTGTGGAGCCACTGTGAACATTTCAATAACCTAGCTTGAGAGAACCAAACATGTCCATATTAGTTTTCGTATATTTTAGCTTTTAGAATATGTATACAATGTACAGTATTTGGTTGTATAGAAACTAAGCAATTTTTGTAAGCCCTTATGTAAAACTGCTTTTCGGAGTTGACAGTGAACAATATTTTTCCTGTTATGTAAAGCTATTTTTAGACTTTAATATGCCAACAATTGCTATGTAGTGGTTGTATTCCAATGAATGTTGCTGCTATTACTGTGTTCAGATACAACATTTACTCAAAAAATATTGTGATTATCGCCAACTTTGTTCACATCATTATTCTTATACGAAACTAATA